TGCCTAGTGCGGAGGTCGTGGACGAGGTCCACGATGTCCGCACTAGCCCAGGCGGGTGTCCACCTCTTGCGGTCCCGGGCAAGCTCCTGGGAGCCGCCAGCCTGGTCCCGGGAAGAGGGGGAAGGCTGGGTGGCATCGGGTGGCTGGCTCGAGCACCGTAGCCAGTCCGTGCCCCTTTAAGGGGTCCGGGGCCGGGAGGGGGGCATATGAGTTTCCCTGGTGTTGGCCAGAGTGGCCACCAGGGAAAGCTGGGGAAGGCTAGCCTCCCACTAGTTCGAATTAAGGGGCTACACACCCCTTAATTCGAACTAGTAAGTTCGAACTAAGCTTAGTCCTCGTACAATGAGGTTTACCTAGTTCTAACTAAGTGCTCCGCTAGTTCGAATTAAGTTCGAACTAGCAGAGAGCTAGTGTAGTGCCTATCAAAGTTAATTCGAACTAACGTCTGTTAGTTCGAATTAACTTTGTAGTGTAGACATACCCTTTGAGACATCTTTTAATCCCCATAGAATGAGGGTTACCGGGATGTCAAAATAGCACGCCCATTGTTCTGAAAAATATTTCAAAATAACGGGTGGCTTGTGAAGACACGGGGTAGGTATTTTGGGATACCCCTGGTATCCCAAAATGGCTTTCATATGTAGACATAAAGTCAATTCTCAAGGCACCAAGTTCTCTATGAACCAAGTGTGATGGATCCATTGGATCGGTGTTAAGTCCCAGCTGAGCCTTGCTGGAAGCTAATTAGCCAGATCCCAGAGGAGTCTCGCTCGTCCTTCAGAGTTGGTCCATCAGCCTCACCACCTCCTCAGCTGGGCCTCTGGGCTCCAGCCCTCCTGATTCACACCAAGAGCTCTGCCCAGTGAGTCCACACTGGGATAGGCTCTTGGGATGTACCTGTGTGCACCGTAGGATCTGATTCAACCCCACAAGTATTTGCTGTGACATAAACCAGCCTTTTCCAAACAGAGCAGGATTTGTTCATCATCTGGCCTCCATCCTCGGCCTTCCCTATGGGCCAAGCCTGGGTGTGAGGAGATGTTCCTGAAAGAAAGACCTGTCCGGGTGCTGTGTATGACCATCACTGGAGAGCTGCAATGGCTTGGTAGAGGGACAGCCTGGTCATTACTTGAGGACTCATAATGAAAAGATTCCTTTACATCTAGATCAACTGAAAGTCTCCAAATAATTGTGATTGTTTTTCTGTTGCAGGGAAACATCTCGACACCATCAGTAAGTTCCCTCCTTCTCCTGGGAGAACCAGTTTTCTGTTATGTAAGATTTTTACACGGATGTGACAATGAGAATTTGAGGACCCTAAGCAATGCTGCCCATGCTAATCGCGTAACTAGTCACTGCAGTAACAGGGTAGGAAGCCAGCGCTGTGCTAGTGTCTTAAGTGGGACCTCGGCATGTAGGCACTTTGTGAGTCAGAATTGTGATCTTTTGCCAGACTCCAGGCTGGAGGCTGAACATGGGAAGACTTTGAGGCTCCTTCTGCCTTTCCTTGTCAAACTGACACAGCTCACATCCCTCACACAGTTGTGCCAGTGTGAAAACTGACTTGCACCGGGATGGTTTATCCTATGTCCGGTCCCTAGACTTGTATTGACACAAAACAATGCCCAGGAGATCAGCCTCCGTGATGAGTAGTTGGGGGGCCTGTGGTCATTAATTTCACACAAGAGAGTTTACAGCCTGGCCTTCTTTCTCTTTATTATTTAGGTAAAATTTGCACCGAGCTGGGTAAGGACCTTTTTGTTTGTTTCTTTTATTTCTCTCTCTGATTCAGTCTTTTCTGCGATAGTGAAGCTTGTTGATTCTACATTTGTCTGGCTTAATTCTCACCCCCATTTGTGTGTTGCCTTTCAGAATGGAGAAGAGCCCTGCATGATGCAGGTAATTACAACAAATGTCTAATCAGTGGATGGTCCTGCTCTGTCACTGTGTAAGAAGGTGAAAATATAATAAACAGAATAGAGTATATTCCTGATGGGAAAAGAGAAGGTGCCGAGGTTCAAGGAGTAAGAGGCAGAGAACATCCAAGTGTGTCCTAGTTACAGATTGCTCCCCACTTCTGGAGATAATCCTGGGTCTGCATGTCTGAGCGGGTATTCCTCCTTAGGATCCCAGCCCTAGAGTCAGGGAGAGGAACGAGAGCAGGGACCAGACACAAGAGTTCAAATCCAGAATCCCCCTGATCTGTGTTCAGCTTGTGCCTGTTTTCTCTTCTCTCTGCCCCCAGAGATCTTCTCCGCTCTCTGTCAGACACCAGCTTTCTGCTGATTTTAACCCTCTCCATCCTCCAGTCCTTCATTTGTACCAATGAAACCCTCTTTCCCCTCTCTCCACCACTACACACCTTCTCGTGTACAAGCCCATAATTCTCTGTCTGCCCTGATGACTAGCCGTAGATGTTTAATTAGGGATCTGTTGAGTCACATCATTATTTTTGGATCTCAGACCTATGGCAGGATGGAGCCAAAGTCAGGCTGGTGTCAGCAAGAGACGTCCAAGCTCCAGGGCTTTCAATACAAGGGAGGAAGGGCGCATCAGGGGAGAGCTAGTTGTGACCATGTAACTGAAAAGTCTCAGAAGGAGCCGTTGTGTTAGTCTGTCTGCAGAGACAACAAGGGGTTCCATGGCACCTTTGAGACTAACAGATGTGTTAGGACATCCACTTTCATGGGTGTAAACTCCACTCCTGCCTCGGTTTTACCCACGAAAGCTGATGCCCTAATAAATCTATTAGTCTCTCAGGTGCCACAGGACTCTGCTTCTCCCCCACCCCAGCCATTGGGCCATAGTTGGGGGGAATCCCCTTGGTGTTCCCTGTGAGCCCAGGGCACGGGCGAAATACAAGGAAGACGCAAGGGGTCACACGTCCCCAACACTGTGTGAGTGAGGGGAAAGGGGTTGGGCTGTGGGGCCACTGGTGGGGGGGGGGCTTGGTGGGTC